CAGCTTCTCGGCGTGGGGGGCGAGCGACTTCCCGGGGGTCAACTCGAGAGGTTTCAGTTTGCATGCGCTCTGGTAGAAGGTTGCTACGGCGACGATCGGAGGTTCATGCATCCAGGAAGTGGCCCAGCTCGGCGTTCGTGACACGACCTAGCCGGGAATGAGCACTGCGTGCGCGTCTGACCCGAAATGATTGGTTCAGGCGGATACCCATCATAGCAACTAAAGACCCCGCTTGCTCATTACAAAAAACGTCGCCATCGCTTGCCCACGCTGTCGCATAAAAATCGCGCCCGTTGCATTGGGGAACGGGGCCCGATCTTAAATCTACAACTCCTTCTACAGAGTCAGCATCTGCGGGGGGAGGCAACGACGTCATGAAGCCGGTCGCGGCGACCGAAAGCCAGCGCTATAGGGGCGCGCGGCGCAAGGGCTACTACAACAGGGGCACGGCCGGAAAGCTCGCGCAGGCAGGACGCAGGCGCTGGACGGGCGAAAATCAGGCAGCTCGTCAGTCGGCATATTCGTGCAGATCGCACCAATTCGAGAAATCGGCCCGGCATGAGCAACGCCGTTCTCGTCGCGACGAGCAACTCGATGCGCGACCGCATCCTGCCCGATCCCCGCTGGTTCGGCAAACGTGGCATCAAAGATGTTAGCCATCGACGTGCTAAGACCCCTCCCCCAGCTCATTTAAAATGTAAATCTACAGCGGGAAACACTTTCGCCGTTTTAGCGGACAAGATCCTATCTCTGGTGGCCCTCAAAACCACGCCTCCCCTGCTGGGTCGTCCATGGCGGGACGCTGCGATGGTTAGAACTCTGGAGTCTGCAGCGCGCGCGCTCCAAGACAAGGCGATTGGAGCTCACCTTCTCCAGAATCACGCGCGCACACTTGGGAAGCTCCACGAGCAACTTCAGCGAGATAGAAATGATGCCGCCACCGACCGCGCGAGCAGGAAACAGCACCCACAGCGCAACAGTCATGCACTCCTCTTGTAAACTGTTCTACGTCCCCAGGAATCCCTCGAGCTGCTCGGGCGCAAACGATCCCGTGACGCCCCAGGAGATCCACCAAGTCTGGAACACTTATTGCGACTGTTCTTAATATTTGAGCTCAGAGGACCAAACAACGATCAGCAGCTTCAGGACATCACACTCAGCTATCAGCTTGGCGTTACAAGCACATGGGCGACAGGCAGGGTTAGAGTAAGGAGGCTCAGGGCATCCAGGATCAGGGCTCCCAAATGAAGAATAGGACGAACACGCAGGGAGAAGAGCTGGCAAGAGATGCGTAATCGCCTGAACTTGGCGGAACAAGGGCCACATCGCACCTGCAGTCGCCGCCGGCGTCGCGCATTCCTTCGATTGGTGCTTCCACGTATGCGTGCAGTAGTTCCCGTCGAACAAGACACATTCCCAAGGACCAAACACTCATCGTCACAAGGTCGGACTGCCGCGGCGGTTTCCCACTGCGCAACAACAGCACGGAAAGACGGTATGCAGTTGGCGACGAATTTGTCGAGTTCGTCCTGCATCTGGTGACTGATGAACTGGTTATTGTCGCCAATCTGCAGCTGGATCACTTCGTGGATCTCGCCACTGCCGAATAGGAAGAGCACTCTCTTGAAGACCTGGCTGCCCACCTTCACGTTCTCGCCCCAGGTGGTGCTCGACGTCGCATATCTTTTGATCCTATCCCAGAAGCACCAAAAGATACGGTTGCCACGGCGCGCGTCGGCCGCGGCGTCCTTCCTGGAACGAAGCTAGTGGGCAAGACCTGCGCGCGCATCTCTCGACAGAAGGCCCGCGCCTGGAAACGTTATTCGGGTCGGGCGAAAGGGGGGGATAGCAAAGGGGGGGTTTGAGAATCAGCTCACGTAGCTGATTTTCCCGGCGCCTCCCGGCGCCGGAGGCGCCCGTGTATCGAGGAATGGGCCCCTCGGTGAGCCCGAAACCAGCTGCATGCAGCAGATTTCGTAACCCCCCCTTTCCCAATCCCCCCCTTTCGCCCAGCCCGAGTTATGATGTAGCTCCTCTGCATATTGTAGGCCTTGATCTGCGCACCAATCCGGAAGGCCTGCGGTAAACTCCACAGGACCATCCTGCCGCGAGCCTCCAAGATCCTGCCCAACCTCGCTCGCGGGAGCCTTCCGACCCAGACCTGCGCGGGATCGAACACTGCCTCTGGTTTGGACGCCCGAAATGGGTATGGAAAGAATGGGTACAATGCCCAACAGCAGACCCTGTTCATTCTGAACAGGACTCGCTGTCGGTGTCGCCGCGGCCTGTGTCCATTCGAGACAGAAGGCCGCCTGCCCAACAGCGGCCGCTGTTGCTTTGGGACAACATTTGTTGTTGGGCATTGTACCCATTCTTTCGGTACCCATTTCGGGTGTCCAAATCTGGCATGTTGTGTTGCGGTCGTGCGGATGCGGATCCGGTCGAACTTCCTGAAGGTACCATTGAAAAAGGAAGGCTGTGCTGAGCGTCGTTCGTTTTGCTGTTCAAGGTCAAGCTGGTGGTCCAAGACTAATCCGATATCACCTTCTCGCATTCCGTCATCCTCCCCGTTCATGCAGCAACCATAGCTCCATGCTCGAATGGATTCGAACGTAGGGCGCGCACATCATCAGCGGTAGCCATGTTGGTCTCCATGCGGCTGTGCTGGTTCTGGATTTGCGCGAACATCGCCAAGATCGGATCCTGCTGAAAGCCCTTGCCATCCTGGTCCTGTCTTCCCATTGTTCATGTCGGCCAAGCGTGCAGTCTTTCCCTCACGTTCACCTCTCGAATCAGAGCCAGCCATGCCGACGACCTGGGTGGGGGTGCCACTTGCCATGATGCTGGAAACCCGCGCTGACAGCCATAGGAGCTGGAAATGCAGCCGTGCGAGAAAGGCCACTCAGCACACCGAAACGGACCGTGCTTCGGCGCACAGCTGTGGAGACGAGGCCTCTCCTCAGAATGTGGGACGCTGAACCTTCCCCTCGGCTGTGTCCAAATTCGAAGCTCCAAAGACACGTTTCGAACTTGAGCCCAAATTGCTACGGAAGAAAGGAGGAGGAGGAAGAGGAGGAGGAGGAGGAGGAGGAGAAGGCGGAAATGAAGGAAGAGGAGGAGAGAGGAGGGGGAGAGAGAAGGAGCGAGAAGGGGGAGTAGGAGGAGGAGAGAGAAAGAGGAAGAGGAGGAAAGGAGGAAGAGGAAGAGACGGGACCATCCCCCCAGTTCGCCTCTCCTGAGAGCCCCCGGGCGAGCCGGCGCAAAACTCGCCGAAGTCGAACACCTGGCAGGGTGCCAAGTACTAGCAGCCACATACACACATACACCGATCCTCTAGAGTCCGCCTGGATGATGTCCGAGTGGATGGGGTCGGAGGATGGCGCCGCATCGCCGACGCATCGGCGATACATCGCCGATGCATCGCCGATCCATCGGCGACGTCGGCGATGAATCGGCGACGTCGGCGTGTAGAAAATCGGGCTCCACATCGAGCCGCATCACCGATGCATCGGCGACGCGGCGATATTCTCCGACCCCATCTATTTGGACCCCATGTAAGAGGCCTGGACCATTAGATCCTACCCCTTCGTGTTTGCAGTTGTTGTTTGTATTATGAAAGCCTCTTTGGGCTTCGGGACGTCTCCAATAGCCAATAGCCTCAAGGCCTCAAGAAACCTCCAGAGGCCTCAGATCACGGGAGAGGGTGGGGGGGGGGGGGGGGGGGAAACAGCCACGAGCTCCTGGGACACTTGCGGATCCACCCAGCTATAGAACAACCTCCGACAAATTTGATCGAGAGCTCCTGGAGCGGTCGGTACGTCCTTGTAGTTGGACGTGCATTAACAGAATATTGCATACCAGTTTGGCGTCGTTTGACATTGCCTGCCATCGCTTGGTGACCCGAAGGAACTCGAAAAAAACCGGGCAACGCTGGGGAGCGACGAACCTCAAGGAACCCGGAGGAGCTCCAGCGGGGCAGGACCCAGCACCTACCCACCGGCTTCTTCCACGAACGAGCCAAAAGACCCTCAGGGGAGGCTTCGATGAGGAAAAAACGTCAAACTCGATCTTCTCGGATCTCTGGAGGTCTGCGCCCAGGATCGGCCCACCCCGATCGGTGCAAGTGTGCAGTTGGACGCCCTGCAACACCGAGTGGTGGCCCGCCGTGGTCGAGCCCAGCTTCCCGGCGCTGAGCAGCGGCTCGCTGGGCACCGCGCCTGCGGCGTCGTCGTCGTCGTCGCCGTCTGAGGATCGATGGTCGAGGACAGAGAACTTGAACGCCTGTGGCCCCTTCCAATCCTCGTGGAGCGCCCTCATGGCCGCGGCGGGGTGTTCCTCGGAATTCTGGCCAGAGCGAACCCTGGACAGGTCCAGGAGCCGAAAACAGAAAAACACAAACGTGTCATTCAGCCTTCGGCGTCCGGCAACCTGCTGTGGGCCCCACGGCCGTCAAAAGACGACCCGGGATGAGGAAGTGGTCCCACGGGGGAAGGTGGTCGAGATCTGGGGCGCACGGATTAAACATATCATGATGTCGAAGGTCTTGGCTTGCTCAAGCCCTGTGCGCTGCCGTGCCAACGCAGAGTTCGGGTCAAGCCGCTAGGCGCCAAAACAAATCAGCCATGCAAAGGGACATCGCGGAGCGGCACAAGACGGGCTGGAAGGCCTGACCTTAAAATTTGCTCCACGCGTATATCAGAGTGATGGGGGCCAAAGGGCCAAAGGTCTTGTACCACTCATGCGCGCGTGTCTGAAGATGGCTTTCGCAGTAAGGGTGATACTTGTTATGTGTTTGTTTGTGTTGGTTGTTGTGGGTTGTTTGTTGTTTGGTGCTGTTGTTGTAATTGTTGTTGCTGCTGATGTTGGTGTTGTTGCCGTTGGTGTTGTTGTTAGACTTGGTGATGTTGTTGTGGTTGGTGTAGTGGTTGTTGTATTTGCGGTTTCTGTTGTTGATGTCGGTGGTGTTGCTGTTGTCGAAACCTCACTTCTACAGGATCTATCGTGTTGAACCCCATCTCCGGTAACCGTTGTATGTTTCAATTGAAGTGTTTGTTTCGCGGGCTCGCACCCTGTTTTTGACAAGGAACAGCGAAGGGTCATCAAACTGCGTCGTTGGCCCTCGCACTACAACAACAACAACAACAATAACGGCTCCCGTCTGATACTTCCTCACCGTTTATGGCCAAATCGCGCTCTCGCGCGGGATGTCCCCACAATTTATGCAGGAATCGCGCTCTAGCTCGGACTTCCTTGCAATGTATAGACGCCGCGCCCTCGACACTCAGGAATCACGCGCTCGCTCGGGATTTCCTGACGATTTATTTGAGAATCGCGCTATCGTTCGAGACATCCTCGCGATTCATGCAGGACGCAGGCTTCAGCAACCCGCCTGCTCGACCTGGCCGCCTGGGCCCGCCTTCAAGATCCGCCCGTTAGGGTCGAACCGCCCGATCTACCCGTCTGGTTCTGCCACGTGGTTTCTGCTCCTAGCCCCCCTCCTGCTACTCTCTCTCTCTCTCTCTCGTGTTCCATCCTCCTCCCTACCCCTTGTCCCTTCCTTCCATCCGTCCTTTCTTCCCCTGCCGAAAGTGCTGCACAAATACACGTTGCAGGTTAGAAGGATAGTATACCCCGAAAGGGGTACGATCGAAAACGAAGAGGGCGGGTATCGAGGGATTGGGATATACGTGTTGAGTGGCCCGCGAGCAGATAAGAGAGAACAATCGTAAAATGATTGTTGTTGTTGGTGGTGGTGGTGGTGGTAGTGTTGTTGTTGTTGCTGTTGTTGATTTTGTTGTTGCTGATGTCGTCGTCGTCCTCGCCCGCGACCCGCCCACTGCCCACCCGCGACCCGCCGGCGACCCACCCGCGACCCACCCGCGCTCTGTTGACGAAGAATCGGCGCGTGCGCCGAACTTGTTGTGGAATGTGTAGCAAGTCGGCGCCTGCAGCGGGCTTCTTCAGAGCCTCGCGACGACCCCGCCGCCCCCACACCCTGATCCGCAAATGAGCCCCCACACACATACACTTACACATACACACATACATATACATATTCAAGTACACAAACATAAACATATACATATACATCTATACATGGATACAAATGACCATGCGTATGTAAAACCATATACATACACACTTACATAGCCATGTCCATGGACATACATATGCATGTCCATATGCATATGCGCATACACCTGCACATTCATATACATGTATATACATATACACCTACATATGCATAATCATCTATACATGTACACATATGTAAACATATACATTCACCCACAAACATGTACACATACTTACACATGTACCTGTACAAACATACTTACATATACACGTACATATACATGTACAAGTGCATATACATGCGTATGCACATGCACATCTACATGCGCACATGCAGTTCCATCTTTCCATGTATATATATATATATATATATACATACATGCATGCATATATACATACAACTTCACCATGTCTCTGGACACGGAGTGGTCGTGCCCTAATCCTCGATGCTGGAGCCCAAACTGCCAAATCTCCCGCGGTTTCCCGCGTGCCCCCTGGGGTTCCTCGCGGTTTGTCGCGTGACTGTTTCGGGCCCAGGAGGGCCCCAGCATTGGCCAAGAGGGCCCAACATTTGCGTTCTCACCTGTTCGGCCTCCCGACGCCCCAAACACGGCCCAGGAAGCCCCCAAGATCGCCTCAAGGCGGCCCAAAAGCCCAAGAGGCCACCAAGAGGATCCCCAAACGGCCCGAGAGGACCCCAAGACGGCCCAAAAGGCGCCCAAGACGGCCCAAGAGGCCCCAAAGACGGCTCCAAAAAGGGGCCCAGATGGGGAACCCGAGCGGACCTATCGAGCCCTGGGACCCGACAGCCCCCAGGAAACTCCAGGCGGCCCCCGAAAGTTTGGCTGTCATGCAGGCGGAAGGGCGCTAAGGTAAACCAGAAACTGCAGCGATACTTCCATATGCGTGTTTCGACATCGTCGTCACATGGTGTTCGTGATCCTTCCATCGTGTTTCCCCTTTCTCTTCCTTGTTCCCACCCTACCCGGCGATTGGTCCCCCATCCTCCTCAGCTCTTCTTGCGAAGGTTCCTCCATGAAGAGCGCTTTGGGGGGCTCACTGATTCGTTAAATAATTGATTGGGGCCGTCTGGATGCTTCCTGGGCGCCATCTGGGGCCTCACGGGACTTCCTCGGGCCACTGTTTCCAACCGCGGTCCCCCTGAACGACCAGGTCACGACTTGGATTGTTACGGTACGCGTCTTGGGGGCCATCCTGGGCCGTCATGGGGCTCTTTTCTGGCCATATTGGGGCCATGTTGGGCTGTGTTAGAGTTTTCTTTGACTGCCTGGGCGCCCTCATGGTCATTGTGGGGGAGATGTTCGGGTTTCCTGGGCGGTCTCGGACGCCCGGAAGACAAAAGAACAAAGCATCCCCCAAATCACGCGACGAGAACACATTTGCAAGTCATGTCTTTCTGCGTTTCAAAAGCGTCTTGGGGGGAATCTTCTTTGGGTCGTCTTTGGGCGTCTAGTGGGTGTTTGGGGCCTCGCGTGGCTCTCGCGAGGCCGCGGGGCCGCCCTCCTGACCTGTCCGCTGCGCAAGCCAAGCAGGGGCGTCCAGGAACCCCGAAGGCCAAGGGTCCAGGAGGCTCCCAGAACCACGGACTTGGGGCGGCCCTGGGGGGAAGGGGAAGGGGGTGTCCCCACCCCCTGGATTATCTTTGAACGTAAGCGGTGTATGTATATATATATATATATACATATATATATATATACGTTCTTCCGAAGAGTTCCATTGTCCTTACTGGTCAGACGGATGGTTTGATCTGCGTGCCTGCTGGAGTCCAGAGCTCCTGGAAAGGAGAAACGACTACCGCGAGCCCTCGAGGCCGGCGAGACAAACACAAGACCACGCGAAGATTTGCTCCACGGGTGTTTTCGAGACGGAACTTAAGCAATATCGGTTCCTTGCGTGAGGATGTCCCCCGCGCGGCCTCCTTATCCCAAACAGTCTAAATGATTCACACGCACGCATTGCCTTGTGCCCTTCCGAAGAGCTCCAATTTCATCAATGGTCGGACCGCTGGTTCTATCTGCATGCTTGCTAGAATCCGGAACTCTTGGCGAGGAGAAACGTTTACCACCAGCCTTCGAGGCCAGCGACACAAGCACAACGCCACATAATCGGAGCTCTCTGAAATTGGACCTCTGGAAACCTGAAACGCCTAGAATGCGAGGGCCGCCTTGGACAGCATACCCTGGGGCGCATGTTTCCGGTGAGCATTTACTGAAACCACGGGCAATGGACGTGGACATATCATTGGGATAGGGTTCGGTGGTAGCCGCCAGAAAACGCCCAGTGCTGTTTTCCCCCGCCCATCAATGTGAGACAGATCAGAGAGCGAGCAGATCCCGTGCCCGCAGCACTTGAAAGGACAAAGGGCGCTCAAATCAGCGATAGCACAAAATAGATGCCCGAACGCTTTCGCCAGGGGGTGCCAGATGCACAGAAATTCACAGTTAGGTGCTTGACCTCTAAACGTTTAGCAACAATCACGGCAACGGGCTGCTTCTGGAGCCCGGGATCCCGAGAGCGAACGAGCTCGAACAAACACAAACTGAACGCGCAGAGCATATTTCCTTCGGGGACCTTCAAGGCATCAGATGGGGACAGGTCGGGGAAACGCTCGGGGCGTCAGGAGTTGTTCAGATCTCGGGGACCATCTTGGCGATTGCATGCGAGCGACATTGACTAACAGGGAGTGCCGACCCACGCGGCGGCCAACAGGTCCGAGCGCAGCTGGACACGCAATTAGACGCTGTGCCCACCGTTGCAGCAGGTCCCAGTGGCTTTCGTGCCTAACCTTGAATTCGAAGGCGGCCACTCGCACGGCGCCACTTCAGTGAGGGCCGCCCAGATCCACGGAATACCTCCAAGCAGACAGACTGCACGGGCCCATCGACGCATTGGATCAGATGGTTGAGAGGTGACCGCCAGCGCGAGCGGCCAGGGCGACGACGAGGCGCTGCTCGACGCTGGAAGGCGCCACGCCTGCTCGGCTAAGCGGCCGCCCTCGGCGCGCCCTCGGAGCGAGAAGTCCGACATCCACCGGCCCCTCTTCTTTATGTCCGCGAGGTTGCGGCGCTGCGCTCGCGCGAGCCCCCCCCCCCCCGCGGCGAGAGGCGCGCAGGGTCGGCGA